CGATCAAATTCGTACAACTTAAATCCATATGTTGAAATGGTCCATTGAAAATTCCAAAAATCATAAATTAATAGCAAATTTTAGTGTAAATAATTAAAAAAATCGGGCTATTCACGAGCCGCCACTGAACTACCACAAACACGTTCATTTCCATTCGCGCTTCGTCACTGTCATTCAAAAACCCACCAATAGAAAACAAACACACGATTTTTCTTATCTAAAGTGTTTTATTAAATAGTACTTCAATTCACAATTGATAACAGTTCTTGGTCTTACAATTATCACTGATTATCTTCCACCATACGACTAATAAACGAAAAATAAATTCATACATACTATCACTCCATAATCAGTGTCCATTAAACCGAAAGGAAATTGCTGCAGGTCGCTAGAGGAAATCCCGACAATATCAAAAGATACAAATTTAAAGATTTACAAATATCAAAATACAATTACAATTCATCATGTAAATCATCTACATCACTAGCAATTTCCCTACAAGCCGCTGGAGTAACAAACTCAAACAGATATTCACATCGATTAGGTTCAGTAACAGAAGTCACTTCATTCGTGACACCACACACAACTTTCACTTTGGAAGACCTCTGAGGACCGTTCCAGCAAGACTGGCCCTTGTCGTACAACATAGACTCATACTTATTATCCTCAGGACCATCCCAGCGGCCCCACGACCCCAACCTAGTCTCCATGGAACCGGACTTTGGCAGCTGAGTGGTCTTCTCGAACGGACACAACTTATAAATGTACTCGTGGTCGGAATAATCGAAGCATTCGCCTTGAAGAGACGCGAACTCCTCTTCAGGCCCGAAATCCTTCTCTAAATAGTCTTGGATGTTATTAATTTCGGCTTCTATGTCTCTGACGGCTCGCTCAGCGTCCGCGAACTCGTTCCTAGCGAAAGTTGCCCGATCCACGAGCTTTTGGGTCTCGTCGTCGTAGGGCAGCGGCGCCGGTTCTTCTACGGCCTCTTCAGGTTGCTCCGGCTCGTCTTCGCCTTCATCTGGTTCTTCTTCGTCTTGAGGGGCTTCTTCTTCGTCCGCTTCGTCGCCTTGGAGGTCGTCGGCTTCACTGGGGCTTTCTTCTTGGGTGACTGGGGGCTTGAAGAGACCGGCGTCCATCATTAGGTAGGGTTTGATGTTAGGCCAAGCGTCTGTGACGAATTTTTCAAGCTCTACTGCGTCTTCATTGTTGAGGAAATAGCGGGCTTCTTCCACGGAAACTGAGAAAAATTTAATTGGTTATTTTTTTAACTACTTTAAATTAACACACCTTCTCCATTTTTATCTTTGTCAAACGTTTGTCTTGTTTGTAACTCAGAAATCTCCACAAAACCGTCTTGATTGGAGTCAAACTTGACAAAAGTCTCTGTGGCTTCTTCCCTATTCTTGGCTTCTTCAACTTCCGCTTTTCTCTTCTTCTCCTCATCTTCCATTTTTCTGTAAATTTCCAGCGCCTTATTCTCAGCTGCTTCAAGCTCATCTTTGATTTGTTGCTTCTCTGTTTGACTCTCTCAACCTCCTCTTTGTTCTTTTCTAGCACCACTAGCTTCTCCTTCTTTTCTTCCTTCAGCTGCATACCTGAAAGCCCCCTTTTCGTTATAAAGCAACGACAAACCTCTACCAACCTCTTTGACTCAGCTCAGACAACAAAAAAAAAACACGAAAAAAATGGTCAAAAAAATTACAAAAAAGGAAGGTCACAAACGAAACTGTAAAAAATGCAACAAAAAACGCGATAAAATAGTCGTCAGAAAACACAACAAAAAAGGACAAAAAAGTGAGATCGAAAAAAATCTACAATAAAATATGACAAAACAAGCAACAAAAAATCGCCAGAAAAATGATAAAAGAAAAAGCGAAAAAACTACAAAAAAGACAAAAATTTGTGATTATAAGGTTACAAAAAAGCCGCCAAAAAAGGGAGAAAAAGGGAATGCAAAAGAAGACTCAAAAATGGAACAGAAGAAGACTACAAAAATTTAAAAATACAAAATGGAAGAATCGAAAACTTGAAAAACTGTAAAACTGAAACATCTGAAAATTGAGAAGTCAAAAAATTGAAAAATCCCAGCAATGAAATATGGAAGAATTGATTAATCGAAAAAACGAAATTTCAGAAATACAAAAATATAAAATTTTAAATTGAAAAATTGAAAAACCAGAGTCGAAAAACCGAGAAATAGAGAAATCGAGAATCCAAAATTTTAAAAATTGAAAAATTGGAAAATTGAATCGGAAAACTAAAAAATCGAGAAACTAAAAAATTCCTAGACTGAAACGACGAAAAATTACAAAATCGAAAATCGAAATGTCGAAAAATTGGAAAATCGAAAATTTCAAAAATCAGAACATCAAAAGATCGAAAAATCGAGAAGTCGAAATTGAAAAATTGGGGCCAAAATCGAGGACGAAAAGGACGAAAAAGGGTATTAAGGACGAAAAAGAATAATAATGACGAAAAAGGATGACAAGGACGAAAACGGACAAAAAGGACGAAAAAGACGACGAAAGACGAAAAAGGATAATAAGGACGAAAAACGAAGAAAAAGGATAATAAGGACGAGAAGGACGAAAAAGGATAATAAGGACGAAAAACGACGAAAAAGGATAAAACGGACGAAAAGGGATAATAAGGGCGAAAAAGGACGAAAAGCACGAAAACGGACGAAAAGGACGAAAAAGGACGAAAAGGACGAAGAGGACGAAAAATGACGAAAAAGGAGAATTAGGAGGAAAAAGACGAAAAAGGATAATAAGAACGAAAAAGGACGAAAAGGACATAAAAGGACGACGAAAGAGGAAGAAGGACGAAAAGGACGAAAAGACGAAAAAGGATAAAAAGGACGAAAAGTACGAAAAATGACGAGAAAGGACGAAAAATGACGAGAAAGGACGAAAAGGGCGACAATGGATAATAAGGATGAAAAAGGAGAATTAGGAGGAAAAGGACGACAAAGGATAATAAGAATGAAAAAAGATGACAAAGGACGAAAAAGACAAAAACGGAAAATAAGGACGAAAAAAGACAACAAGGACGAAAAGGACGAAAAATGACGAATAAGGACGAAAAAGACGAAAAAGGACGAAAAAGGACGAAAAAGAACGAAATGGATGATAAAGGACGATAAGGACGAAAAGGACGAAAAATAACGAATAAGGACGAAAAAGACGAAAAAGGACGAAAAGGACCAAAAAGGACGAAAAAGGGCAAAAAGGACGAAAAAGGACAACACGCACGAAAAGGACGAAAAAGGATACAAAGGACGAAAAGGACGAAAAAGGACGATAAGGACGAAAAGGACGAAAAAGGATAATAAGGACGAAAAAGGATAATAAGGACGAAAAAGGACGAAAAGGACGGAAAGGACAAAAAGGACGAAAAAGGATAAAAACGACGAAAAGGACCAAAAAGGACGGCAAAGGACGAAAAGGACGAAAAAGGATAAAAAGGACAATAAGGACGAAAACGACGAAAACGGACGAAAAAGGACGGAAAGGACAAAAAGGACGACGAAGGATGAAAAGGACGAAAAGGACCAAAAAGGGCGAAAAAGGACGAAAAAGACGAAACGGACGAAAAGGACAAAAAAGAATAAAAAGGACGACAAAGGACGAAAGGACGAAAAAGGATGACAAGTACGAAAAAGGGCGACAAAAATGAAAAAGTACGAATAAGGACGAACAAGGGCGAAAAGGACGAAAAAGCATAAAAAGGACGAAACGGACGAAAAGGGACGAGAGAGGACGAAAAGGACGAGAAAGGACGAAAAGGACGATAAGGGCGAAATGGGACGAAAAGGACGAAAAAAAAAAACAACCAAAAGGCGAAAAACTGAGAAATCGAAAATACAAAATTTAAGCGATCGAAGAATTGAAAAATCAGAAAATTGAATCGAAAAACGCAAAAATTCCCAAAGTGAAACGGCGAAAAATTGGTAAATCGAAAAATTGCAAAATCGAAAAATTCAAAAACTGTAACATCGAGAAATCAAGAAATCAAAAAATAGAAAAATAGAGAAATCGAAGTAGACCAAAATCGAAAACTGAAAAAGTTAAAAATTGAAAAATTTAAATTAAAAAAAAAAACGAAATAATGAAAAAACCCAAAACTGAAATATCGAAGTGATCAATGGAAAAGTCGAAAAATCGGAATTTTAAAAAATCGGAATCTTGAAAAATCAAAAACCTGAAAAATCAAAAAACCGAAAAATCGAAGAACTGAAAACCCAGAAATCGAGAAATGGAAAAATCTATTTTAAAAAGGTCTATAAAAATAGGAAAAAAGCGATTGAAAACAAAAAACCGACCAAAAACGGCGAAAATAGTGCTAAAACCCTCATGAAAAACAATGACAACAAAATGGTGACAAAAAAAGCAAAAACTAAGCTACGAAAAAATGTCAAAAGAAAGGACGCAAATGAAGCGAAAACAGCGACAAAAGAAATCAAGTACACAAATATGTGAAAAAAGAAGACAAAAAAACGGTGATAAAAATATGAATAGACTCAAGTCATAAACCACATATTACGCATTTTATATACGATTTATCCAGGAAAGAGGCAGTCATCAGGTTTTGGAGCGGATGAACAAAACAATTTTTATTAGCGATTTACTATCTTTATTATGCTAACTTTGCCAGTTATGAAATTATTTTATACTTACTTTTTATTTCCTAAACACCCAAGAAAGGTAGCAAGTAATGGTGCCAACATGAAGAAATTGAAATTAATAAGTGTTTCACAATGTTTCAAAGTTTTGTTACAAACCCAACAGCACTCCGATCAAATTCGTGCAACTTAAACCCATATGTTGAAATGGTCCTTTGAAAATTCCAAAAATCATAAATTAATAGCAAATTTTAGTGTAATACAAAAATCGGGCTATTCACGAGCCGCCACTGAACTACCACAAACACGTTCATTTCCATTCGCGCTTCGTCACTGTCATTCAAAAACCCACCAATAGAAAACAAACACACGATTTTTCTTATCTAAAGTGTTTTATTAAATAGTACTTCAATTCACAATTGATAACAGTTCTTGGTCTTACAATTATCACTGATTATCTTCCACCATACAACTAATAAACGAAAAATAAATTCATACATACTATCACTCCATAATCAGTGTCCATTAAACCGAAAGGAAAATGCTGCAGGTCGCTAGAGGAAATCCCGACAATATCAAAAGATACAAATTTAAAGATTTACAAATATCAAAATACAATTACAATTCATCATGTAAATCATCTACATCACTAGCAATTTCCCTACAAGCCGCTGGAGTAACAAACTCAAACAGATATTCACATCGATTAGGTTCAGTAACAGAAGTCACTTCATTCGTGACACCACACACAACTTTCACTTTGGAAGACCTCTGCGGACCGTTCCAGCAAGACTGGCCCTTGTCGTACAACATAGACTCATACTTATTATCTTCAGGACCATCCCAGCGGCCCCACGACCCCAACCTAGTCTCCATGGAACCGGACTTTGGCAGCTGAGTGGTCTTCTCAAACGGACACAACTTATAAATGTACTCGTGATCGGAATAATCGAAGCATTCGCCTTGTAGAGACGCGAACTCCTCTTCAGGCCCGAAATCCTTCTCTAAATAGTCTTGGATGTTATTAATTTCGGCTTCTATGTCTCTGACGGCTCGCTCAGCGTCCGCAAACTCGTTCCTAGCGAAAGTTGCTCGATCCACGAGCTTTTGGGTCTCGTCGTCGTAGGGTAGGGGCGCCGGTTCTTCTACGGCCTCTTCAGGTTGCTCCGGTTCGTCTTCACCTTCATCTGGTTCTTCTTCGTCTTGAGGGGCTTCTTCTTCTTCAGCTTCGTCGCCTTGGAGGTCGTCGGCTTCACTGGGGCTTTCTTCTTGGGGGACTGGGGGCTTAAAGAGACCGGCGTCCATCATTAGGTAGGGTTTGATGTTAGGCCAAGCGTCTGTGACGAATTTTTCAAGGTCTACTGCGTCTTCATTGTTGAGGAAATAGCGGGCTTCTTCCACGGAAACTGAGAAAAATTTAATTGGTTATTTTTTTAATTACTTTAAATTAACACACCTTCTCCATTTTTATCTTTGTCAAACGTCTGTCTTGTTTGTAACTCAGAAATCTCCACAAAACCGTCTTGATTGGAGTCAAACTTGACAAAAGTTTCTGTGGCTTCTTCCCTATTCTTGGCTGCTTCAGCTTCCGCTTTTCTCTTCTTCTCTTCATCTTCCATTTTTCTGTAAATTTCCAGCGCCTTATTCTCAGCTGCTTCAAGCTCATCTTTGATTTGTTGCTTCTCTGGTTTGACTCTCTCAGCCTCCTCTTTGTTCTTTTCTAGCACCACTAGCTTCTCCTTCTTTTCTTCCTTCAGCTGCATACCTGAAAGCCCCCTTTTCGTTATAAAGCAACGACAAACCTCTACCAACCTCTTTGACTCAGCTCAGACAACAAAAAAAAAACACGAAAAAAATGGTCAAAAAAATTACAAAAAAGGAAGGTCACAAACGAAACTGTAAAAAATGCAACAAAAAACGCAATAAAATAGTCGTCAGAAAACACAACAAAAAAAGACAAAAAAGTGAGATCCAAAAAAATCTACAATAAAATATGACAAAACAAGCAACAAAAAATCGCCAGAAAAATGATAAAAGAAAAAGCGAAAAAACTAAAAAAAAGACAAAAATTTGTGATTATATGGTTACAAAAAAGCCGCCAAAAAAGGGAGAAAAAGGGAATCCAAAGGAAGACTCAAAAATGGAACAGAAGAAGACTACAAAAATTTAAAAATACAAAATGGAAGAATCGAAAACTTGAAAAACTGTAAAACTGAAACATCTGAAAATTGAGAAGTCAAAAAATTGAAAAATCCCAGCAATGAAATATGGAAGAATTGATTAATCGAAAAAACGAAATTTCAGAAATACAAAAATATAAAATTTAAAATTGAAAAATTGAAAAACCAGAGTCGAAAAACCGAGAAATAGAGAAATCGAGAATCCAAAATTTTAAAAATTGAAAAATTGGAAAATTGAATCGGAAAACTGAAAAATCGAGAAACTAAAAAATTCCTAGACTGAAACGACGAAAAATTACAAAATCGAAAATCGAAATGTCGATAAATTGGAAAATCGAAAATTTCAAAAATCAGAACATCAAAAGATCGAAAAATCGAGAAGTCGAAATTGAAAAATTGGGGCCAAAATCGAGGACGAAAAGGACGAAAAAGGGTATTAAGGACGAAAAAGAATAATAATGACGAAAAAGGATAACAAGGACGAAAACGGACAAAAAGGACGAAAAAGACGACGAAAGACGAAAAAGGATAATAAGGACGAAAAACGAAGAAAAAGGATAATAAGGACGAGAAGGACGAAAAAGGATAATAAGGACGAAAAACGACGAAAAAGGATAAAACGGACGAAAAGGGATAATAAAGACGAAAAAGGACGAAAAGCACGAAAACGGACGAAAAGGACGAAAAAGGACGAAAAGGACGAAAAGGACGAAAAATGACGAAAAAGGAGAATTAGGAGGAAAAAGACGAAAAAGGATAATAAGAACGAAAAAGGACGACAAAGGACGAAAAAGGATCAAAGGACGAAAAATGACGAATAAGGACGAAAAAGACGAAAAATGACGAAAAGGACCAAAAAGGACGAAAAAGATCGAAAAGGACAACAAGGACGAAAAGGACGAAAAAGGATAAGAAGGACGAAAAGGACGAAAAGGACGAAAAAGGACGAAAAGGACAAAAAGGACCAAAAAGGATGAAAAAGAACGATAAGGACGAAAAGGACGAAAAAGGATAAGGACGAAAAGGACAAAAAGAACGAAAAAGGATAAAAAGAACAAAAAGCACCAAAAAGAACGAAAAAGGACGACAAAGGACGAAAAAGGATCAAAGGACGAAAAATGACGAATAAGGACGAAAAAGACGAAAAATGACGAAAAGGACCAAAAAGGACGAAAAAGATCGAAAAGGACAACAAGGACGAAAAGGACGAAAAAGGATAAGAAGGACGAAAAAGGACGAAAAGGACGAAAAAGGACGAAAAGGACAAAAAGGACCAAAAAGGATGAAAAAGGACGATAAGGACGAAAAGGACGAAAAAGGATAAGGACGAAAAGGACAAAAAGAACGAAAAAGGATAAAAAGAACGAAAAGCACCAAAAAGGACGAAAAAGGACGAAATGACGAAAAGGACGATAAAAGACGGAAAGGACGAAAAAGGACAATAAGGACGAAAAGGACGAAAAAGAATAATAAGGACGAAACACGACGAAAAAGGATAATAAGCACGAAAAGGACGAAAAAGGATAATAAGGACGAAAAAAGACGAAAAGGACATAAAAGGACGACGAAAGAGGAAGAAGGACGAAAAGGATGAAAAGACGAAAAAGGATAAAAAGGACGAAAAGTACGAAAAATGACGAGAAAGGACGAAAAATGACGAGAAAGGACGAAAAGGGCGACAATGGACAATAAGGATGAAAAAGGAGAATTAGGAGGAAAAGGACGACAAAGGATAATAAGAATGAAAAAAGATGACAAAGGACGAAAAAGACAAAAACGGAAAATAAGGACGAAAAAAGACAACAAGGACGAAAAGGACGAAAAATAACGAATAAGGACGAAAAAGACGAAAAAGGACGAAAAAGACCAAAAAGGACGAAAAAGGGCGAAAAGGACGAAAAAGGACAACACGCACGAAAAGGACGAAAAAGGATAATAAGGACGAAAAAGGACGAAAAGGACGAAAAGGACAAAAAGGACGAAAAAGGATAAAAACGACGAAAAGGACCAAAAAGGACGGCAAAGGACGAAAAGGACGAAAAAGGATAAAAAGGACAATAAGGACGAAAAGGACGATAAGGACGAAAAGGAGGAAAAAGGACAACAAGGACGAAAAAGGACCATCAGGACGAAAACGACGAAAACGGACGAAAAAGGACGGAAAGGACAAAAAGGACGACGAAGGATGAAAAGGACGAAAAGGACCAAAAAGGGCGAAAAAGGACGAAAAAGACGAAACGGACGAAAAGGACAAAAAAGGATAAAAAGGACGACAAAGGACGAAAGGACGAAAAAGGATGACAAGTACGAAAAAGGGCGACAAAAATGAAAAAGTACGAATAAGGACGAACAAGGGCGAAAAGGACGAAAAAGCATAAAAAGGACGAAAAGGGACGAGAGAGGACGAAAAGGACGAGAAAGGACGAAAAGGACGATAAGGGCGAAATGGGACGAAAAGGACGAAAAAAAAAAACAACCAAAAGGCGAAAAACTGAGAAATCGAAAATACAAAATTTAAGCGATCGAAGAATTGAAAAATCAGAAAATTGAATCGAAAAACGCAAAAATTCCCAAAGTGAAACGGCGAAAAATTGGTAAATCGAAAAATTGCAAAATCGAAAAATTCAAAAACTGTAACATCGAGAAATCAAGAAATCAAAAAATAGAAAAATAGAGAAATCGAAGTAGACCAAAATCGAAAACTGAAAAAGTTAAAAATTGAAAAATTTAAATTAAAAAAAAAACGAAATAATGAAAAAACCCAAAACTGAAATATCGAAGTGATCAATGGAAAAGTCGAAAAATCGGAATTTTAAAAAATCGGAATCTTGAAAAATCAAAAACCTGAAAAATCAAAAAACCGAAAAATCGAAGAACTGAAAACCCAGAAATCGAGAAATGGAAAAATCTATTTTAAAAAGGTCTATAAAAATAGGAAAAAAGCGATTGAAAACAAAAAACCGACCAAAAACGGCGAAAATAGTGCTAAAACCCTCATGAAAAACAATGACAACAAAATGGTGTCAAAAAATGTGGCAAAAAAAGCAAAAACTAAGCTACGAAAAAATGTCAAAAGAAAGGACGCAAATGAAGCGAAAACAGCGACAAAAGAAATCAAGTACACAAATATGTGAAAAAAGAAGACAAAAAAACGGTGATAAAAATATGAATAGACTCAAGTCATAAACCACATATTACGCATTTTATATACGATTTATCCAGGAAAGAGGCAGTCATCAGGTTTTGGAGCGGATGAACAAAACAATTTTTATTAGCGATTTACTATCTTTATTATGCTAACTTTGCCAGTTATGAAATTATTTTATAAAGTCGCGATCTTTTCTATAGAACCACTCCCTAGTGTAAATTTTCAAAATTTGTTTGGTGTACCTAAGTGACCTTGACGGGTTTCTGGGGGAAAACATATGTGTCAAAAATTTGACAGGTTAGATGGCCCCATTGTTAATGTAGATATTTTATTTTAATAAATAGATGAACAGAAAATACAGTCTGCACGGGATACAGTGCGGCATATTTGAGGGCAACCGAAACATTCGTGTTGTCCTAGTTTCGATTGCCATATCAACTACCGCTACCAACCGCGTTCGGCGTAAAGTACTAGATGACAGGGCTACCAACTTGACTTTTTATCGAGTGGTTCCGTAGAAATGACCGCTATAAGGAATTCACGTTCGGTAGATGTAACTAGATTTGGTAACTTTTTTTTTTAAGCTGTGTAACTGCGGACATAATTGTTCTAGTGTATAATGTATTACTGGAATGTCAGAAAGTAGGTATCAAAAATGTGACATGTAAGTAAGTAAAGGTCAAATATCGAAAATGTGATGGTTTTGTGGTAATCTGGTGAATCTATTTTTGAACCAAGGAGAAAATCGCATCCCTCTAAAAGCCCAAAGAGCAACCCGCATGTAAAATTTTGAATCTTTTCCCTTCACTAGTTTTTTTAGGAGGACAAGCTTTGATGTCATCATCATGGATCCACAATTTCACCATGGATCCGTTCTGGTATATCCATGTCTCATCCAAAAAAATGAAAAGTAAATCTTCACCACAATCACGCAATTGGAGATAGGTACCGCCTTAGAAATTTGATTCTGGCAGCTATAACGTGTTTAAAATGTGAAAAACTTCGCCTTCGGAAACCTAAATTTATACGTGTATTACGTACAATTATTTTCAAAGCCCAGTGTTTTACCTCTTACAAAACAATAACGATGATATAAAACTTAAAAACCAATTGTAGAACGGAACCAACAAAGCATGTAGGTATATAAATCTGCGCAGTCGACTTTCTGATTCTGATTATAATATTAACGGCACAAGCGCCGCTGTATCTGTATTATTTTAAAATTCGAAAAACACTCGACAACACTAGCGAACTTTACGGAGAATATTTCAGCCACTGTTTCCGTTTTACCCAATTTTTTGAAAACCACGAAATATTTCTTGTTTCTTTTCCTTTAAAATGAGCTTTCTCGTGATTACTTTTATGGAAATTGTTTCCATGCTGTATTTAAGGATTTTCTTGAAACGAAACGTGTTGAAATTAGAAAAACTTCGGTTTTTTTTGCACACAATTCAGATTTGACATTTGAATTAGAAAATTAGACAGTTGATGCCAATCTTAAATTTCTAGTGATCTTAAGATTGCAACTTAACCACAGAAAAGTTTCTGTCAGTTACTTCTACCGAACGTGAATGCTTATTACTGTACTTACTTTTTATTTCCTAAACACCGAAGAAAGGTAGCACACAGGGTAGCAAGTAATGGTGCCAACATGAAGAAATTGAAATTAATGTGTTTCACAATGTTTCAAAGTTTTGTTACAAACCCAACAGCACTCCGATCAAATTCGTGCAACTTAAACCCATATGTTGAAATGGTCCTTTGAAAATTCCAAAAATCATAAATTAATAGCAAATTTTAGTGTAATACAAAAATCGGGCTATTCACGAGCCGCCACTGAACTACCACAAACACGTTCATTTCCATTCGCGCTTCGTTACTGTCATTCAAAAACCCACCAATAGAAAACAAACACACGATTTTTCTTATCTAAAGTGTTTTATTAAATAGTACTTCAATTCACAATTGATAACAGTTCTTGGTCTTACAATTATCACTGATTATCTTCCACCATACGACTAATAAACGAAAAATAAATTCATACATACTATCACTCCATAATCAGTGTCCATTAAACCGAAAGGAAAATGCTGCAGGTCGCTAGAGGAAATCCCGACAATATCAAAAGATACAAATTTAAAGATTTACAAATATCAAAATACAATTACAATTCATCATGTAAATCATCTACATCACTAGCAATTTCCCTACAAGCCGCTGGAGTAACAAACTCAAACAGATATTCACATCGATTAGGTTCAGTAACAGAAGTCACTTCATTCGTGACACCACACACAACTTTCACTTTGGAAGACCTCTGAGGACCGTTCCAGCAAGACTGGCCCTTGTCGTACAACATAGACTCATACTTATTATCCTCAGGACCATCCCAGCGGCCCCACGACCCCAACCTAGTCTCCATGGAGCCGGACTTTGGCAGCTGAGTGGTCTTCTCGAACGGACACAACTTATAAATGTACTCGTGGTCGGAATAATCGAAGCATTCGCCTTGAAGAGACGCGAACTCCTCTTCAGGCCCGAAATCCTTCTCCAGGTAGTCTTGGATGTTATTAATTTCGGCTTCTATGTCTCTGACGGCTCGCTCAGCGTCCGCAAACTCGTTCCTAGCGAAAGTTGCTCGATCCACGAGCTTTTGGGTCTCGTCGTCGTAGGGCAGCGGCGCCGGTTCTTCTACAGCCTCTTCAGGTTGCTCCGGTTCGTCTTCGCCTTCATCTGGTTCTTCTTCGTCTTGAGGGGCTTCTTCTTCGTCCGCTTCGTCGCCTTGGAGGTCGTCGGCTTCACTGGGGCTTTCTTCTTGGGGGACTGGGGGCTTGAAGAGACCGGCGTCCATCATTAGGTAGGGTTTGATGTTAGGCCAAGCGTCTGTGACGAATTTTTCAAGCTCTACTGCGTCTTCATTGTTGAGGAAATAGCGGGCTTCTTCCACGGAAACTGAGAAAAATTTAATTGGTTATTTTTTTAATTACTTTAAATTAACACACCTTCTCCATTTTTATCTTTGTCAAACGTTTGTCTTGTTTGTAACTCAGAAATCTCCACAAAACCGTCTTGGTTGGAGTCAAACTTGACAAAAGTCTCTGTGGCTTCTTCCCTATTCTTGGCTGCTTCAGCTTCCGCTTTTCTCTTCTTCTCTTCATCTTCCATTTTTCTGTAAATTTCCAGCGCCTTATTCTCAGCTGCTTCAAGCTCATCTTTGATTTGTTGCTTCTCTTGTTTGACTCTCTCAGCCTCCTCTTTGTTCTTTTCTAGCACCACTAGCTTCTCCTTCTTTTCTTCCTTCAGCTGCATACCTGAAAGCCCCCTTTTCGTTACAAAGCAACGACAAACCTCAACCAACCTCTTTGACTCAGCTCAGCTTTCAGATGCTTCCCGGCTTTGACCAACTCCGCCATCCTCTGCGCCTCCTCCCTCGCATGTCGCCCCAACTGCATGCAAATATTGGGGCACGTGATCGTATTTCTGGCGTACTCGTCGCTGCCGTCGCAGCAGTCGCACACGCCGTCGTTCACCCGACTGGAGGCCAAGTTCATGGGTTTATGCCCAGCGTTGGTACAGTGGAAAATCCCGTGGGGACAGGCCGACGTCCCCGGCTCGTCGCTCCCGTCGGGACAGTCGCAATAATCGTCGTTCACCTGGACGAAGGGTATCGTTTTACTGTTATCAAAACATAAAAAATTTCGCTCTGGATTGTATAAAGACGCTCTTGATAAAGACACACCGCGCGGTCTCGGGACTTCGGAAGTACATATTACGCTTAAAATTACGCTGGAACTTAAGAATAAAGAAGAAAATTTAAAATTTCTCGCGAATAACTCCATCACGCTCTTGTCACACCGGCACGAATTGCTGCTGGAAAAACATGCGCGTAGGGAAAAGACACGTCAGTAGTTGGTGGTACGGGATTTGGGAGAAGTACGCGTCACGTGACGGGGTTGGGTGTGAATCGTGTGTTGTGTTAGCTCCGCCTGTGTACTTCTCGTCGACGCGACTTAGGGGAATTTGGGCAGTGACAGCTGTCAGCTGTTTTATTACAATGACAGGTGTTTTAGATTGTTGTAGATAAACTTTCAATGTTTATTGTTGAATTATGAATTGATAAAAGCGCCGAGTCATGATTGTCGCACCAAACACACACTTTATCGTCGTTTTTTTACAGAAAATGGTGCTAATTAGTTGTTTCATAATGTTTATCTTTGTTGTTGTTGGAAGAGGCTCAATTTATAAAAATCTCAAACACTTTGAGACGATTCACGCCGACGATGTTATTCACACAGTTGTAAAGCGGGGGACCCCAGCAGGCGATCACCCATTCAACAAAATCAAAGAAGTGAACTTTAATACCCACGGTCGTGACTTCCGCCTCATTCTAACCCCGAAACGGAGCGTCCTACATTCGAAATTCAAAGCCTATTCTGTGGATGGAAATGGAAAAGAAACAACCGTCCACATTGGTAAAATTGTCACTATAATTGTCATAGTGTTGTACATTGTTTCTAGACCATGAACAATTTTACCATGGGCGGGTTTTCGGGGAAACCCTGTCTCACGTGAGCTTGCACATCGACGATGGAGTGATAACAGGAAACATTCACTTGCCGGATGAAACCTATCACGTTGAGGTGCACGTCACAAAAACAACACCAAAAACATTTTAATTTAATAAATTGTATTAAATTGTAGCCGTCGTGGCGACACATCCCTCACCTAGACAACAAAACGATGATCACCTACAAGCAATCAGACGTGAAATTCAGTTGGGACCGTGATACTCTACCCCCGGGGCAAGTGGGCCCCAGAATTTGCGGATACGTGAAAGAAGGCGACGATCTTGACGACAATGAGGATGTTGAAGACAACCAATGGACGTCTGAACAACACAGGGAGAAGCGACAGGTGGACCCGTACGATTTTCCGCCTACTAAAACCAGGTGTCCGCTCTTATTGGTCGCGGACTATAGATTCTTCCAAGAAATGGGTGCCAGTAATACTAAAACCACAATTAACTACTTGGTATACTTATTTGGGTGGTTGTTCAATTTTTGAGGTTGTTTTTATAGATAAGTCTTATTGACCGCGTGCATAAAATCTACAATGACACGGTGTGGCAAGACCGCCAGCAGGAAGAAGGTCTCAAGGGGATGGGTTTTGTGATTAAGAAAATCGTGGTGCATAGTGAGCCGACGCGGATCAAAGCGGGCGAGGCGCACTATAACATGATACGAGAAAAGTGGGACGTGAGGAATTTATTAGAGGTAAATACTGATTGTGTGGTTGGTGATTTTTATTTAATTTTGTGTTCTCCAGTTTGTTTATTTTAGCACTGAATGTTCTAAGCTAGTCGTCGTCTGAATAGGAATGCATGAACAACTTTTTAGAGGTTATTATTTTTTATTTTTCGTTAATTTTTTCGTTTTTGTGTTGGGTTAATATTGTGGTGTAGGTTTTCAGCCGAGAGTACACTCACAAGGACTTCTGCTTGGCCCACTTGTTCACCGATCTGAAGTTTGAAGGGGGGATTTTGGGGCTGGCGTACGTGGGGTCTCCGAGGCGCAACTCGGTGGGAGGCATCTGTACTCCAGGTACGTTTTGCTTTATTTCCAGTAGAAGTTCTAAAACTTGTCGAATTAAATATTTTGTAAAAATAATTATCCTGGCGCCTCCACCATTTTTGCAAAATTAAAAACTATGAAATCGGTCTTAAAAGAGATCATTTTTATTGGAAATGTTCTCAGAATCACGAACCTGTGCTTATTTCACCCGTAGCGCTTCAAAAACTGGAATAAAGTGCATTGTTCGCCATTTTAAATAAAAATTGCTATTTTTCAGATTTTGGGGAATTTGGTTGCGGTTGGTATGACAAATGTCAATTTGTAATTTTACAATAATAAATTATTATTAACAATGTGCCCCGAACTAGTCAATTTTGACATCAGTGTGCTAACAAACGTGATGAGAAGATGGCCGTTACTGACTTTCAATTCAATTTGACAGTTAGATACGCCGTCATAAAATTTTCAATATGTTGCCAACCTGACAAAAATTTACAATCTAATTAGTCAATTTGGTTGCTTAAACGCAAAGTAGGACAATTTATCTCAGTGAATTGCGTATTCTATTCATCGAATGTCTAGAAATTTACAGAAATGCATTATTCCGGATGAAATATACCGAGAGAGCAGTAAAAACCATGATCAAAAACAGCCGTGGAATATTTTGCAAGTCTATCAAAGACAAATTTTCAAAAATCCGTGGATGTCTTTGATCGTGTTTTTATTGCTCTCGCGGTATTATTGCGTGTAGTTTTAAAGATTTTTTTTTGATACAGCGCCTCCGCAATTTTTATACAAAAAAATTACACATCATCAAATTGGTCTTAGAAGAAGTCATCTTTATTAAAAAATTTCTCAAAATAAAATGAAACTAAAAATTTTTATTGTTCAAACCGGTCCGAAAATCAATGTCCAGATATGTATTTAAAGAAATGTATTAAATAGTCTGAATATACAGGGCCTTCATTAATATTTGATATCTAGTAGGCTATGGATTTTTAAAATTTTTGTATTTTGTTGGATTTTTTTTAGTTTCTTGGGTTTTTCTAATTCTTTATATTTTTTCTGATTTTTTGCAATTTTTGGATTTCTTGGATTTTTTTTATTGTTTTGATTTTTTTTAATTTTTGGAATTTTTTGGTTTTGATTCAATTTTGTGAATTTGTTTAGAGTTTTTGGATTTGCTTGGATTTTCAAGATTTTCCAAATTTTCCTGATTTTGGGGATTCTCCAGATTCTGTGGATTTTTCAAATTTTCCGGATCTTCTGACTTTTCCAGATTTTTTGGATTTTCTGGATCACCTGAATTTTCCATATTTTTCACATCTTCTGATTTTACAAATTTTCTGGATTTTACAAATTTTTCAGATTTTACAATTTCTGCCAGAAAATCTTGGGCAGTATTTTTCTGTCATTTAAAAAAACACGATGTAGTCTAGGCTTTATTGTCATGATGATTGACACTTAAAAAATAAATTTTGACGTACATCATCATCCACATTCCAGTCTACGTCAAAATGACATACATGGCCAATTTGAGGTTATAAGTACGTAAAGCCGGTTTTCGAGCTTATGTCACTGGAATGACAGAACTGCCTAAGATTTTGTGGCAGAAACTGTACATGTTTTCTGAATTTCCTGGATTTTCTGGACTTTGGGATTTTCTGCATTTTCCAGAAAAACTGCAATAATACCACATGATCGAAAAATTTACCAAGTGTGCATTGGGATTTATTTAAAAAATATATATGTTGGTACTATCGTTATTTTTGACTGCGGTTATTTAAATCTGTAAATTTGACGTTACAAATGTGACACTGAAAAATTTTAACATTGAAGCATTGAAAAAGCAAAAATTAAAAATTTTAAAATGGAGACAAGAGAAATTCCCAATTAAAAAATTGAAAAAACAAAAAATCCAAGTATTGAAAAATTAAAAATCGAAAAACTAAAAATTTCCAAAGTTGAAAAATTGAAATATTTAAAACTGAAAACTAAAAAAGTTGCTAATCGAAAAATTTAAAAATTAAAACCAGAAAAATTTCCTATCGAAAAATGGTAACACTGATTAATTAAAAAAAAAAACAAAATTTTAAACACATCTAAATATTATAAAAGTCAAAAATTGCAAAATGGCATTCGGAAAACTAAAAAATCGAAAAACTGAATAATCGCAAAATTCAAAAATTAAAGAAAATTCGAAATATTGCAAATCAAAAATTGTAAAACTGAAAAATCGAAAAATGGAATAACTGAAAAACTATAAATCGACAAACTGAAAAAATCGAGAAATTTGAGTATCGAAAAAAGAAAAATTTTAATAATCGAAAAATTCAAACACTGAAACATCGAAAAATTGAAAAATGGAAAAATCGAAGTAACTAATAAGCATTCACGTTCGGTAGAAGTAACTGACAGAAACTTTTCTGTGGTTAAGTTGCAATCTTAAGATCACTAGAAATTTAAGATTGGCATCAACTGTCTAATTTTCTAATTCAAATGTCAATCTGAATTGTGTGGAAAAAAAACGAAGTTTTTCTAATTTCAACACGCTTCGTTTCAAGAAAATCCTTAAATACAGCATGGAAACAATTTCAATAAAAGTAATCAAGAGAAAGCTCATTTTAAAGGAAAAGAAACAAGAAATATTTCGTGGTTTTCAAAAAATTGGGTAAAACGGAAACAGTTAAACTGGTGGCAGAAATATTCTCCGTAAAGTTCGCTAGTGTTGTCGAGTGTTTTTCGAATTTTAAAATAATACAGATACAGCGGCTCTTGTGCCGTTAATATTATAATCAGAATCAGAAAGACGACTGCGCAGATTTATATACCTACATGCTTTGTTGGTTCCGTTCTACAATTGGTTTTTAAGTTTTATATAATCGTTATTGTTTTGTAAGAGGTAAAACACTCGGCTTTGAAAATAATTGTACGTAATACACGTATAAATTTAGGTTTCCGAAGGCGAAGTTTTTCACATTTTAAACACGTTATAGCTGCCAGAATCAAATTTCTAAGACGGTACCTATCTCCAATTGCGTGATTGTGGTGAGGATTTACTTTTCATTTTCTTGGATGAGACATGGATATACCAGAACGGATCCATGGTGAAATTGTGGATCCATGATGATGACATCAAAGCTTGTCCTCCTAAAAAAACTAGTGAAGGGAAAAGATTCAAAATTTTACACGCGGGTTGCTCTTTGGGCTTTTAGAGGGATGCGATTTTCTCCTTGGTTCAAAAATAGATTCACCAGATTACCACAAAACCATCACATTTTCGATATTTGACCTTTACTTACTTACATGTCACATTTTTGATACCTACTTTCTGACATGCCAGTAATACATTATACACTAGAACAATTATGTCCGCAGTTACACAGCTTAAAAAAAAAAGTTACCAAATCTAGTTACATCTACCGAACGTGAATTCCTTATAAGAAGTTCGAAAGTTGAAAAATTGAAATATTTAAAATTGAAAATTAGAGAAGTTGCTAATCAGAAAATAGAAACGAAAAGCTGGAAAATCGAAAAATTATAATCGAGGCAACAGAAATCGGAAAACTAAAAAATACCATATGCTTTTTTAAATTGGACATAAGCCGCAAGGCGTAGTTTAATCGGTTTAACCTCAATTTATCTCAATGACAGTGACATTTATATAAAAAATGATTAAACTACTCACGATCAAAGACAGTCATGGGTTTTTGCAAGTTTGTCTTTGATTGTTGCATTTTCAACTCAAGCTTCCAAATTGACGGTAACCTGTTGGACAAGACGAAAATTCTATCAAAGACAAATCTTCAAAAATCCGTGACTGTCTTTGGTCGTGTTTTTCATTGCTCTCTCGGTATTATTTTAATTTAAATTTTTGGATTTTGTTGGATTTTTTGAATTTTTTGGATTTTTTGAGTTTCTTGGGTTTTTCTAATTTTTTAGGTTTTTTTTAGATTTTTTGCAATTTTTGGATTTTTTAGATTGTTTCGATTTTTTGTTTTTTGTTTGGATTTTTTTTAAGTTCTGGAATTTTTGTGGTTTTGATTAAATTTTGTGAATTTGTTTAGACTTTCTGGATTTTCTAGATTTTCCAAATTTTCCTGATTTTGGGAATTCTCCAGATTCTGTGGATTTTTCAGATTTTCCGGATCTTCTGACTTTTCCAGATTTTTTGGATTTTCTGGATCAGCTGAATTTTCCATATCTTCCATATTTTTCACATCTTCTGATTTTCCAAATTTTCTGGATTTTACAAATTTTTCAGATTTTACAGTTTCGGCCAGAAAATCTTGGGCAGTATTTTTCTGTCATTTAAAAAAACACGATGTAGTCTATGCTTTATTGTCATAATGATTGACACTTTTAAAAAATAAATTTTGACGTACGTCATCATCCACATTCCAGTCTACGTCAAAATGACATACATGGCCAATTTGAGGTTATAAGTACGTAAAGCCTGTTTTAGAGCTTGTCACTGGAATGACAGAACTGCCCAAGATTTTGTGGCCGAAACTGTACATGTTTTCTGAATTTCCTGAATTTTCTGGACTTTTGGATTTTCTGCATTTTCCAGAAAAACTGCAATAATACCACATGATCGAAAAAACTTACCAAGTGTGCTTTGGGATTTATTAAAAAAAAAATAAATGTTGGTACCATCGTTATTTTTGACTGTGGTTATTTAAATCTGTAAATTTGACGTTACAAATGTGACACTGAAAAATTTTAACACTGAAACATTGAAAAAGCAAAAATTAAAAATTTAAAAATGGAGATAAGAGAAATTCCCAATCAAAAAATTGAAATAACAAAAAATCCAAGCATTGAAAAATTAAAAATCGAAAAACTAAAAATTTCCAAAGTTGAAAAATTGAAATATTTAAAACTGAAAACTAAAAAAGTTGCTAATCGAAAAATTAAAAAATTAAAACCAGAAAAATTTCCTATCGAAAAATGGTAACACTGATAAATTAAAAAAAAAAAAACAAAACTTTAAATACATGTCTAAATATTATAAAACTCAAAAATTG